ATATGATATTTGTAACAAACAATTCAGATAATTTCTACAAATCATTTTTTTTTTAAGGAAAAATTGGTTTTCAATTTTATCATCTATGTCATTTTGATTTAAATGTTTATTATATTATCGCTAAAATATACGTATGTACAAGTACATAATTATATATATACATATGTGTATAATTATGCGTGTCAGCATCATCTCTGCGGGATTTTTTTGATTGTTACCATTGTTATTAAGAACATCATTGACGTGACATCTTTCACAAATCACGTACAACTTTTACAATACTCATTCGATAATCTCGGTGTTAGATAATGACGATGACGATTATATCAACAAATAGTCAACCGTGTCAAGTGTCTCACATGTCGGTATTGAGAAAATCGTGACATCTATAGTAAACGAATGAAAACACATCACGCATTATTTTGAAGTAAGAAAAAGGAAAATATCGGTGAAAGAGGTAAAAGTGACAGTGAGTATTTTAAGTATTTATTGCATCTTCTGTATTAATAATGTATATTTATGATCTTATATAACATTTGAATATTTTTTATTTTAGAGAAAACGTATGTATGCGAAACAATACATTTCTTCTGAATGAGAAACATACAAGTTAACCTCAAAAATATATAAACATTGCAGAAGTCAACAAAAAACAGAGAGAAAGTAGTTAAATAAAAAATATTTAAAAAATTAATAAAAAAATTAATTAATAAAGAAAAGTAACTTGGAGCTTTTTAAAGAAGAAATTCTTAAGGTATACACAATGCAGATGAAACAAGAAAAAGTAAAGCTAAATACACCAGTCATTCCTGTTCTGATGGATACCGCAATCGCTATAAGAATAGCTATGGGTGCAAAAATGCCTCATGAAAGAGCGTTGATGAATCGCTCAGATTTGTGGCACAAAATAAAAGTTCTTAAAGGCGGCCAGTTCGACAAGGATACAGTTTTGAAAGGTATTTTGAAGGCGGTAGAACCAAACGATTTAATACCAGTAAAGTATCAAGTTTGTGGAGAAGACGCGTATTTTGTGGCAAGAAATTGTGGTCCTGCGCTGGAAATGCTGTGCAAAGCAAACATGATCATCAAAAATGCTAAGGGTGTCGCTATCGTTCTCATAATAACCTTAGGATTTGCTACAATCGAAGATCTGAAAATCCATATACAGCCCCTCCTGTTAACTGCATTGACTAAAAGATACAATCCGAATGAGAAATCATTAAATCTGGAGAGTTTCCATACAGAACCGGATGTGGATAGAACCATCTATTGTCCTTTATCACAACTTAGAACTTCCAATCATGTTTTGAAGCTAGCTAAAACTGCAATAGCCACTTTCGAACATCTAAATTTACAGCATAATGAATTGTTTAATATATCTGCAATAGAGAATTCAGAGTTAACATCTATCAAGTATTTGGATCTTAGACACAATAATTTGTTAAATATGAACACATTAGCTCCTCTTAAAAATTTAGAAATCATTAAACTTTGGCTCGATGGAAATCCGCTTTGTGAAAATTATTCGACTGCAAAGCAGTACGTAGAATCTGCGAAAAGATATTGTTTGCATTTGAAAGAATTAGATGGCGTAAGCATTGTAGAAAATATGCCGCTGATCTACAAAGACTATTTTCCAGATGACAAGACGCAGCATTTCGCGCATACGTTTGTTTCTCACTTTTTTTATTTATTCGATCAACTCGACAGAACGGTTTTACGCGGACTTTATCGTAAAGATGCAGTTTATTCCTTTAGCTTCGCCATGTCCCACAACATTGCTCAAAAGACAGGTCTTAATCAGTACACGTTCAATAGAAATCTATTAAAAAAAGGCCCCAAAAAAAATACATGTATTTTCTTCGGTCAAGAAGACATTCTAGTAGCTTTTAGTAAATTGCCCCGGTCCTATCATGACAAGAGTTCTTTCACTTATGACATTATGTTCGATAACGACAAATATATAGCCTTCAACGTCTCAGGATTGTTCAAGAAACTAAGTTCCGGTACGAACATACTATCGTTCTGTAGAACATTTATCTTAATAGCTTCTTCCGATAATGAATACCATATTTTAAACGATCAATATCACGTATGGGCAGCACCCAATAACATAACACCTGATAAAATAGTAGTTAAACATGTTTTCGAAAATGAAACGGAGCCCGTTTGCTTCAGTCCGAGTGAAAAAGCGGTATTAATTACCAGGATACGACAAGTCACTACGTTGAACAAGGAATGGGCCGAGACTTATCTAATAGCAGCTCAATGGGATATGCGGAAGACGATACTTGACTTCATGAAAGATTTCAAAAGTTCGTCGATACCAGATCATGCGTTCGTTTCATAAAGCTTGCAACGGTATTATTTATACATAGATATAGAATTATTAATTGAGAGAAACATGTACTCAATTTTAATAAATAATTGTTTGAATAGTACTAATACACTAACATTTATTTATGGAAAATAAATATTTGTTAAATAAAATGTAATAATAGGTAAATCAAATTAATAGTTCTTGTATCAAATAAATATATGTTTACATTTAGTAAATATCTAATTAGCATTATTTGAATAAATATTTATTAAAATTTAGTAGATTTTTCTCTCAGTGTAGATATATATTTTAATATCTATATATTAATCTATATCTATATATAGATTAATATATAGATATTATATAATATGTAAATGTTAATATGTAAATATTAATATACGTGTCGATAATAACAGTATTACTTTTACTATCAGCGCGTCTTCTAAACACTATGTAAATAATAGAAATAATAGTAATATTAAAATACATTTATATATGTTGTTAAAAGTTTTTGCAAATTTTTATTTATCTTTCTCACATTTGTGATTTCTTACAAAAAACGATTTTTTTTTCTTTAATAACCGTTGCGTTAATTGCACATTTAATTGTACCTTCTGTAATATATAGGTATTTACTTCGCGAGATGATGGTATCATGTATCAATGAATATATCACAGGCGATGCGATTACTCGCATGGCATTTAAATGGTCTGCTCAGGACGGAGAACGAGATGCTTAGTGACTTCATCCAAAGGTTATGCACTCAAGGACCATCCGGACGATGTGAATGAAACAAAATCGTGAAGGCAGGCGAGTTTTTTTTACCCTTTCTAATCGTTTTACGTCGCAATATGCGACGGCTGTTGAAGCTCTTCGAGACTTTATTTATTCTTGATTAAGTAAATCATTATGAATGCGGATCTGTAATTGATCATTAATGATTTAATCTTGAGAGTATAACGCTGTGAAATATAATCATTGTCACTACTAAAATAGATACAATGTAAAACCGAGAATAAAATTGTCATCTGTTAGTAGAATTATTTATAATAGATTTTATACACGCACTGTCCTTTCGTAATTATAAGTTTCAATTACAAAGGCTCGATAACGATGCGTACATTTTATCGCTAACACCGTATAAAAATAATAATTATGGAAATAATTCATGGTCCGAGCGATTGCGGGGGAATTAATATTTTTATGCCAAGTGAACTTTACGCTATACATGCAAATTTTCGCCGAGAAAATGATACGATCAAATGAGTTAATAGGTTGCAATAAAGACGTGACTTGGTTGTAATCGTGACGTTTGGTGTACAATAGTGATTTTATTCTAATAAGAAAATAATAGCTCTTTTCTCTAATAAAAGCTCGTTTCATTACACAAATTTTAGACAATGTATTTCATGAATTAAACAGAATTGTAATCACATAACATTGAAGATTATGTATTATTGTATGTCATAAATATGTAATTACAGCATAAAAAGATCAACCTCGAAGGACAACGTAAGATACAGCTTGAATGTAACAGTACAAGTGTTTGCATTGCGTCACATTGCATCATTGCATTACAAGAAAAATGCAGTAATACCATGGTATCCAAATAAACAATCATAACACATTTACGGCAGACTGATCGTTATCTTCTCCTTGCTCTTGCTGTTGTGCAATCTTGTTACTTCCGGATCGTCGAGGCTCAGGAACATTCACGTTTGAATAGAAAAGAAAGACGAAAATAATTTGTACAATGACACAGCTACGCTGCAGTCATTTATACATATTAGATTATCTATATATTTATATATTAGAATAATTATCAACATTATAAGAACATCATGATACTTTATAAAGAATATAATTAAAATACAGACTATTTTAGACGCATAAATTTTTGAATCACTCGCACACCTTTCTTCCAACCAGTGTTTATAGAAAGCAAAACACGGAAATGAAACAAAAAAGATTGAGAAACGTTGAACTGAAATGAGTTGCTAACAATTAACCGGGCCGAGAGAGGATACAAATAACGACATAATAAAATGATTGTTGCTTACTGTGGGACTCAGTACAGCCTCCCACGAAGCTCCTTTGAGAAGTCCGCCTTCGTAAAAATAGGGAACTGTTTCTTCCAGTACTAATTAACCCTTGTATTAATTAAAACTTTCTTCCCCCGATAATTCGATGCTTCCTACATCGATACCTTGGAAATCGAAAGTATCGACACTTGAAATCGTAATCTCGAGCATAATTTCAAGACTAAAATAATTTCGATATTTTGATAGACAAAAAGACTTTACATAAAATAAAAAATAGAAATAAAGGAGAAAATTATTATTAATTTTCATGTAAATGTCAATAATATTCCTCTATTTATCATTTTTTTAATGCAATCCAATGAAATAGATTATGAATTTTTTATTTATGAAAATCGCAAATGTCGCTTTCAAACATTTTAAATGTGTTAAATTATGGGTCAGAGTATCACAGGAGGAACACAGTATGATTAAAAAGATGGCCCATTGAGACATGATCATGTCAGGACGTTCATAAGAGACGTATGCACGATGTAACATGAAGATGTTCCTTTCAGATAACCCGCAAGAGAAAGTCATGCAGATCCTATGTAAATTTTTCGTGTCGTCGCCCCTCTAAAAGGCGTTAGCAAAAACGGAAAGATGCTGTATGCTTCTCTTCTATGATTAGAGATGACTTTTATTGAGTAACGGAAATAAGTCGAAAGAAAAAATTATCAGCAAAATTTGGAATGTAATACAAACACGTTATACAGCGATATTCATTATGTAAAACGAAAAATGCGAAAAGTTAAGTAACATAATATCTAATGAGATTCGCTATTCCGTTATTCATTTGTTGTTAATAAGCAAGGAAAACCTGCGTGTAAATGCTTACAATGTCATGTACAATAGTAATCTAAAGGAAAGATTTAATACATACGGTAACTTCTAATCAAGCTTTAATCTAGACGCTCTAATTTAAAAGTGAAAATGTATGAGTGGAGCAAATTTTATTTTAACTGAGAAGAAAAAAATTTCACTAGATCAATTAGCGCTAAAAAAGTAAACCTGAATTAATTAATTAATTGCATTATCTAACGATTACTACAATTGCTGCAATGTTTTGTGAAAGTTTATATTAGCTTCAAATATAAACTTTTATGTCATTCCGAGATTCTCATATCAAATATAAAATGTACATGTTTATAATTAAATTATAGATATATCGTGTATTAAAAATATGACTCTTTAAAAAAGAAGATGTTAGGATTAATTCATTGGCCAAGATATTTTTATACTAAATTCAAAGATATAGCAACGACACATTCGAATCTAACATTTGAATCTAGCTATTATGATATCCTGAAAGGATTTTTTACAAATAAAATTACAATGGTGACTAAAAGTATGAAATAAAAAAAATGTTTATTTAAAGTTCCTGCCTACTCATTGCAACCATTATGTAGTTAGAAACTAGAAAAATACATTAAAAAAATTCTTACAAACTATATTAAAATATATATATTTTTTAATAAAATTTGCAATTGATTGAATAGATTAATAATAAGATACCTAAGATACTCTCTTTATGTTCTGGTAATCAATAAATTATATATTTGAAATTTAATTATGGTTAATCAGAAAATGGAACAAGTTATATGACAGCTGTCGAATTGAGATAAATATGATTTTATTAGATTCCAAAGTAACAAAATAAAATGGGTTCATTTTCATGGGAGTGGATTTTCAATATATTTTACAAGTGTATTCTATTCAAATAAATATTGTTTTATTGGAAAATATTTCTATTTTTTAATATATTCTGCAAGAAATTTTATTATGTTTTCTCGCTTTTGAGACGTCAATTTGAAAATATATAGTGAGTGGTGAAGAGTCTTAACGTTTATCTACTTGATTGATTTTTCAACGATGATAGAAGCATTTAACATTGTGTAATGCGATATATAATACTTGTATATATTTTACGATTTTTGAACTGAGCAATGAGTAAAACTTATTGAGACGAGTCAAATGCGTTGTAAAAATTTAAAATTTTTTTTCTTGCAAACAAAATGATGTAAGGTTACAATAGGGAAATCGGCTCGTATCAAATAATGGAACAAGCTAAATCACCTTCTCCCAGTCTAAGCGAACGAAATTATCGCGAAGTGAAGAAATCGACCATAACGTTCACAGACTGGACTGATTCCCACGAATGACGTTATAATAGCTTTTACGAAAGCGGAAAAATCTGTTCTTTTGCGCGGCTTTTGGGAATAGGCGTTTTGTTCAGCGGAAGAAAATATGTTATTGCTAAATTATTTTACATATAAAAATAATTTTGCAATTATTTAAAAAATACATATATTCAATAGTTTAAGTTTGAAACTTTATGATTCGAGAAATCTCTTTCCGATTTACGTTACACGATCCTATAATCACAGTAAGTGTTGTACAATTTAATGTTATCCGCGTGATTATTGTGGTCTTTAAGCTTAATCGATTAGAAGCAAATAAAATCGATCTTCATGCTTAAGCGAAACGACGTTGCGTTAGTCTCTGCGAAGGGAAATCGAAGACGAGCGATTCTCTTAAACAGATGAAACAGTCCGATCGGGAGCAATTGTGCAAGACGGATTTTCGCAAGACTCATTCGCATTCATGCGAATGTACGTGTCAGAGAAGAGTATTACGATTTTACCGGAGATGCATCATGCGCGTGCATGCATCTGTGTATGTGCACGCAAATGCGCGCATGGGATTTTACGTGAGACGTGAATAATTAAAAAGGGCATGTTTTCCCGTTAATGAGTATTCGCAGCTGCATTTCTTTGCAATTACGAGAGAATCTCTTCTTCCTCTTTTCATCCCTGACTTATTAAAAAGCTTGCAAACCTACCTATAAAAAAAAATACAAACCTAAATACAAAAAAAAATTATATTTATTCTAAATTTTTCGGCATTGTAATTTTGAACACATATAAAAACACATCTAAAATAAAAAATGGTTAAGAGCCTTCATACGCAGTAATTGATACGAAAATCATATACACATATATTTCGATTGTATCTACTGATCTATTATATAAAATAAAGAACTGAATGTTTGGACTGTATTCAAGCCATCATCAGTAATCTCCAATCATAGTAAAAATTGTTCATATTCTATTCATATCGCAGTAGAAATCGTGTGCAGCAAGTAAGTTTCCACAGATTCCCATATCCAGAGTGACCGTCAATTGATAAGTGCGAGCTAAATCAGAAATAATCATTCAAAAGTTATTAAAAAAGAAGAATAACAAAAACTTTAAAGAAACTTACCTACTGCAAACTGTATAATATTATAATATTATAATATTATAATAACGTAAGTTGAAATCATAAAAACAGATAAAATTAATTTAAATTTCTTAAAAGACACATAATGTTCGTAGTATTAAAATAAAGTCGCCTAAGATAAGAGAACATTAAGAAGTAAATATTCTAAGAAAGAAACAAACTTATCAAAAATCATCGTCATTAAAAAATAATATATAGTCGCTTAAGTATAAATATATCAATCACAAAAATTATTAAAATTTATTGATTATATTCGTGTAAGAACTCGGTATCTGATTTCGAATTTAGACCATTTTCCTAAATTTTAATAGCATTTCAGACACTAACCTTTTCCCAATATATCTCTCATTATCCAAAATTTTAGTGTTACTTCAATCAAAATCATGTTCAGATTACAATCTAAATTCAGAAATGACAGACAAGTTACCGCTCTTTTTATTAATG